CAGGGAACTGGGGCATCCCAAAGGAACCTGAGGGAACATGAGGGAGCCCGAGGTAATGCAAGGGATCCCGAGGGAACCTGTGGTAACGGGGAACTGGGGCATCCCAAAGGAACATGAGGGAGCCCAAGGGAACCTGTGGTAACGGGGAACTGGGGCATCCCAAAGGATCCTGAGGGATCCCGAGGGAACCTGTGGTAACACGGGGAACTGGGGCATCCCAAAGGAACCTGAGGGATCCCGAGGGAACCTGTGGTAACACGGGGAACTGGGGCATCCCAAAGGAACCTGAGGGATCCCGAGGGAACCTGTGGTAACACGGGGAACTGGGGCATCCCAAAGGAACCTGAGGGAGCCCGAGGGAACCTGTGGTAATGCAGGGAACTGGGGCATCCCAAAGGATCCTGAGGGAGCCCGAGGGAACCTGTGGTAACGGGGAACTGGGGCATCCCAAAGGAACCTGAGGGAGCCCGAGGGAACCTGTGGTAATGCAGGGAACTGGGGAATCCCAAAGGATCCTGAGGGAGCCCGAGGGAACCTGTGGTAACGGGGAACTGGGGCATCCCAAAGGAACCTGAGGGAGCCCGAGGGAACCTGTGGTAATGCAGGGAACTGGGGAATCCCAAAGGATCCTGAGGGAGCCCGAGGGAACCTGTGGTAACGGGGAACTGGGGCATCCCAAAGGATCCTGAGGGAGCCCGAGGGAACCTGTGGTAACGGGGAACTGGGGCATCCCAAAGGATCCTGAGGGATCCCGAGGGAACCTGTGGTAACACGGGGAACTGGGGCATCCCAAAGGAACCTGAGGGATCCCGAGGGAACCTGTGGTAATGCAGGGAACTGGGGCATCCCAAAGGATCCTGAGGGAGCCCGAGGGAACCTGTGGTAACGCAGGGAACTGGGGCATCCCAAAGGAACCTGAGGGAACATGAGGGAGCCCGAGGGATCCTGAGGTAATGTGAGGGATCCCAGGTGAATCTGTGGTAATGCGGAGAACTGGGGCATCCCAAAGGAACCTGAGGGAACATGGGGGAAGGTGAGGGAGCCCGAGGGATCCTGAGGTAGTGCGGGGAACTGGGACATCCCAAAGGAACCTGAGGGAGTCTGAGGTAATGCAAGGGATCTTGAGTGAACCTGTGGTAACGTGAGGGAACATGGGGCATCCCAAAGGGAACATGAGGGAGCCCAAGGGAAACTGAGGTAATGTGAGGGATCCTGACAGATCCTGAGGTAACATGAAGTAACGTGGGGGATCCTGATGTGATAGTAGGAATCCCAAAGGAATGTGAGCAATCCTGAGGGCAGAGAGCTTTGCTGGGATATGAAGAGAAAGAAAAGATTTAAATATATCTATGGCTACATCAGCTAAGGCAACACAGCCCCAGCAAGACTTGCCACAGGATTGACTGCCCTGGAATGCAATATATCCACAACTTTTTAAAAGCTTTTGGTTTCTCTCTGACACATGGGAACACTACCTTTCAGATGAAGGTGGTTTTCAGAATCCATTTTCAGAATCATAGTTTATTTAAAATCTAATGATGCAGCCGCTGACTGAAAAGTCTTACCTGAGGAATCCACAAATCAATGCAGGGAAAAGAGGAAGAATCCTGGGATGAAGGAGCACTTTGGCCAGAGAAGTGTGACATTTTGCTTTCTCTTCCCTGCCAGATGGGAGCCCTCCACAGCAAGACCCTCCACTTCGGGCCAGAGACGATCCCCGCAGCGCCAGCAAGGACCCTGCACCCAGGGCTCAGCCCAGCTCCGCTGTTGGTGTGGCAGGAAAGGCCATTAAAGCATCAGGGAAAGCTCCTGGAAAAGCTGGTGATGTTCATGACAACCATTTGCCTTAAACACCACAATGGCAATAAAAACCCTGGGCAACCCCTAAGATATTTTTCTTAGCGGCCATTTGGAGGCATCTTCTTTCACTCCATTCTCTTTGAATACACTGTGAGTGAGCCAACCTGTTAAAGAGTTCCAAGGGTCAAGCCTCAAGGGCCAAAGAGTTTTTCTTCTTGTTCTTATTCTAATTTCCACTTGCACAAAAACTGCATCCTCTGCCTGGAAATACCCTGATGTGCATTGTTGCGATGGCAGCTGAAGGAATTGCATAGTGTTCCTTAAAGGCAGAATAGGGCACAATCATATAATAAAGAAAAGTGCTTTTTCTTCCCTGACCTCCCAGTTCCACTGCTTGGTTCTGCAGTTATTTGTTTCTGCTCTTGTTACGGGTTTTTGAAGAGACAGGCCTCCCACAGAGAAAAGATGTGCAGCCTTTCAAGATCTGCACAGATGGAAAGCACAGCCTTTTTTTTTTTTTTCTCCCCTAAATTGAGTTTTGTTTTAAACAGATTAGCCCTGAATGGTAATAGGAAAAGCAGCATTAACAAACAACTACAGGAGTTGACTTGTGGAAGTGGATTTGTCACCAGGATCCCAAATCTCTCAGCGCTCAGTTACTCTTTCTAATACTATTGTTGTCCATTACAGCACTGATTATTTGGATTGAACTACTTTCATAGATTTTAATTATGGAACCAAATTAAAAGCACACCACCTAAACTTATTATATACAAAAAACATGAAAAAAGATAAAAGGTCTGAATTCAAAGAGTTATATTCCTCCCTATAATTCCATTTGAAATTATTTGTCAGACTACCTCAATGTCACTAAAAAAGCAGTGGGAAACTTCAAAATTTACTTGAAACTAAGGGAAAGCTTTCTCTGCACAAGTGATGAAACCACTGTAAGCCACAGCACCACATCTTAGAAGAACAGAACAGCAATTTGCTGCAGTTTAGGAAAATCTCTAGGGATTTTCTGAACTACATGAAAAGGGCTAAGAGGCAAGACTGACTGACCCGGCTTAGATCACATTAGCCCATAACTCACCTCTGCCTGCTCAAGTGTAGCATGTGATTTCCTTTTTTTTTTTTTTCTCCCTTTCCCTCTCAATTTTAAGGTGGATTTTTATGATAAAATCTCATTTGATACATTTGTATAACAAAAGTGCAAGCCCCAGATGGAACTACCTTAGAAAATGTTTGATTATTACAGCAAGAAGTTACATAGAAAAGACTGTATTTAACTAGAGTTAGTTTGAATTTTTTTTTTTACTTGTCAGATGAAGAAACGGGGACACCCATGAAAATGAAGAAATGAGATTATTCCTGGTATTAAATGAGCAATGGGGTTAAAAGTAAACTTTTGGGCAGAGTTTGAGTTACGGGAAAGCTACAACATAAGTCTCATTAGAGACTATGGATTACCTTTACCATCTGTATAACTAATGTCCAAATATCATAGCTGTGATTGGCAAAGCCCTTTAATGTACAACACACAAATCCAGATGCCCAAGATTTCATTTTTAAACACGCAGAGATACCTGGTTGCCAACTTCCATCAAAGTCCATCTCTATCTGTACAGCTGCTGCCCCTCTCCCCAGTGAACTTCACTGAGCTTTGCAGGAGACAGTCACGTCCCCGAGAGTGCCAGGGAACAAAAGTAATAGAGAAACACTGAGGAAAAGCTCCAGGATGGCTGGATTCATAATTCTGCCATTGTAATCAGCAGGACTATATATATATATATAGCATAGAATAAAAAACAAGCATAGCAACTAAATGTCAGACAAGCAGCACCAAGTTATTAAGACACCACACTTACTTCTCTCTGGTATTTGGCTGCCAAAGTAATATACAGAAATAAAGAATTCCTGTAAAACAGTTCACTTTAGATAATGCTATGGACTGTGAAAGATCAAACAAAAGGCAAGTACTTGGTCTATAAAGCATGACAATAGACATAAGAAATTTAATGTTTATTCTGAGAATATTTACAAAATAAATAATAATAAACTTATATGCTTGACATTTCAAAAATAAAACAACAATGAGCATTTAACTTCTTAGCACAGTATGGTCCACCTTTTCAAACTTCATCTTAAGGTTTTATTTCATTCGGATTTTATATACTTACAGAACTACGAGAAAAAAACAGCATAGATGTAAAGTTCTGCAACTCGGAAAGTTAATCTTATGTCAGTAAATCTAATTTGTAGAACATGAATTTCTATTATTTAATATACTTCAAGTACATTTTTTCAAAAAGTTTTGTTGCTCTGAGCTAACCAGATTTCTAAGATTAGCTGCACCAAATTACCTTTCTACTGGCAGCAGTGCAACTCATTTAAGGTGAAAGTTTTTTAAAACGTACGTTATACTCAGAAGTGGTAATTGGACTAATTTAGGAAATTGCTATGGAAAAGCTTAGCTTCAGAACATTTTAGTTTGTAATACTGAATGCTTCTAAACTTCAAGGTGACTTCAAGGCTTTTCTCTTCAAGACAGAACTCCCCAAATTACTGGAAATTTCTGGACTTCTTTTTTTTAAATAAGCTTATGCCTTACACAAAGTACACATCACAGATAACTGCCGTTTTCCAAACAAGTTGCCCATTTTACCTTTAAATATAGCTTCTTAACCAGTTTGCAAATTGTTTCAGTGTCTGCATAAGCTTGCTGTTGCTTACTCGATCCCTCACTTTTCCAGGAAAGCTTTCTTCTTTCCATATCCCTTTGTGCTTCTTGGCAGCCTTTAGCTCTGCTCGGAGCAGCCTCTTGTGGAGCTTCCAGTAGAGGCGAGAATCGTGTCGCAGTCCTTCAATCCGGGCCGTTCTGCCAAGCCCTTGTCTCAGGATCTCTTCGTTTAAGCACACGCTGAGAAACCGGCCCTAGGAGGCGGCCCCGTGAACACGGTGTTAGTTCTGGCCAAACCTGCTCGCGAGCAGAGAGAACCTATTCATGGTTAAAATGTGCTACCAGCGGCAGAACGTTTGACGGAGTAAGCATTAAGCTGACCTGAGCTGCACGAGTCAGCCCATAAACACCTGTCTGGAAATTTGATTTTAAGACATTTCATTGCATTTTAATTTCACAGTATTTTAAATGAACAATAGCAACATTCTTTGTGTGTGCCAAAATAAGCACTTCATAGCACAACCACAGTCAAAACTATAGATTAAGAAAGAAGATTTTTGTTACTGTATTTTACCTTATTTACTAAAACAAGGCACTCGAGTGCCAAGTCCTGCCTTCCAAGAAGCTGGAACCATATCATTTGTGAGGGTTTCAGCTCTTCCTGCAGCCAGCCCATGGCACCCGGAGTCAGCTCCACTCCAGCAAGTCTTATCAGCAAGAGGCTCTTTGATTGCCCTGATGATACAGAGAGATCTTTCTCACTGAGGGTAGCAGAAAGAAGGCACAGCCCCTCAGCTGCTGTGAAGCGAATCCTCAGAAGTAAACCTGTTAACATTTCAGGTTTAGTGCCCCTGTTGTTTAATTGTTACTGAGAATTCAACCTTTCAATCTCCTCGTGTAAAAAAATAATACCAACATAATATTTTTATTAATAATGTCAATTTCTTTTACACAGATATTTCTCAGTCTTTCTTATTCTTGGTTTCCCATCTGCAAACAAAAGACAGAACCAGGACTGTAACTCAACCCCTTCTCTCTCCAGCTTGGCACTTTGTTTCTTAATGATTTCTGACCACTATTTCTAATACTATCATTTATTAAAAATGCTAAGCTTGAAGTTTATTAATAATTTTAATCTTGTAGTATTTTTGCTAGCCTAATAGATGATACTGTATTAAGAACATCAACTTTTCATTACTAATCTTCATGCACTTTTACTTACATTTTCTTTGCAGTGCTGTAAGGAAAGGAATGCTAATAGGAACGTGCTCGACCTCGAGGCCCTTCTCGGTTACGTGCTGTATTTTTCCCCGCAATTTCACATTCTTCTCTACAAACTCCACAGGTATATCCAAGGCACTTGTGAACTTTGTTGTCTATTGATGGAAGGAAGAGCAAGCCAAAGCCTTAAAAACGTAGAGCAGTTACCATCACATTAAATACATTTCCTTTCACAAAAAAAAAGGCAAGTTCCAGGTCTGCTTTTGCCTGAGACAAGTACTTTTACCGCTCGTCAGCTGTACGGGCCGCTCCGTGTCAGCCCTTGCAGGCACTTTGGAGAAGTCCTTGCTCTGAAGCACTCGCAACACTAGGGATGGACAAAGTTTGCGAAAAGAGCGGAAAGGGACATTGCACGAGCAAGACATATTCGTGTTCACCTGATGGGCCACGCAAAGAGCAAGGGCCTTAAAATCAGACGGAGCGGGGACAGGGCAGGGCTGAAAGCACGGCCGGGCCGAGCTCGCGAACGCGCCGGCGAGGAGCAGACACACAGGAAAAACAGACAGGGCAGAAACAGCAGCGGCTTCGGCGGGGAGCACGCAGGACAGGGACAGGAGCACGTGGATGCCTCCCAAGCCATCCCCAGAGGCCACACTGGCACTAAATCCACTGGAAAATGTGGATTCCCAAGGGGAAAAGCAGGGATCATGCAGAAGTGCTGCTGTGAAGCTTGAACACTTGGTCAACAGTAGCACTATGGCAACAAGAAGGAGATACCCTATGGAGAGGCACCAGCAACAGCACCAACTTTAAGTTTTAAATATCATATTTCAGGCATTTTAGAGATTGTGTTTTTGTAGACAAACCTGCTTTCATGTAAGTAGGACAGAACAAACCCCGTGCACACAGCACGCGTCCCGGCTCCTGCGAACGCCTCGCAGCAAACACACGCACGGGCCTCTGCGGGAAGGGGCGCCGGGACGGGCGGCCGCG